ACACCGCGCCTTCAAGTTGTAAAGCGACATTGCAGCAAAGGATGAAAAACTTTTATCTTGAGGTGTCTGCAGTGGCACTGCACCTCAAGGGAGTCTCCCAGTTTTGGCTTGAGCAGCCAAGCAACGTGGGAGACATTGACTTGAAGCTTCACAAATATTTCCTCATCACCGACCCTGCCTACCTTGAATGAATGAATATATATATATATATTTGTTGTCTCAGTTGGCTGGGCAGCAAGGATGACCAGGGCATTTAAGTGGCTCTGACCTGGCCAAAACCTCTGTGATGCAAAAAGTGACCTTGGAAAAAGGTATTGCCCACAAGGCAAGGCTCCCCTCCGTCTAGAGTTTCATCGGCACATCCACGGCAGTTCGGTCCTTTGTCAGAGCATCAATCTCCCGGCGCTGTTTGACCATCTGGGCTCTTAGGGAGGCAATGCGACTCCGCAACTGCCTGGCATCGTTCGCAGCTCCAATTAGGTCCAGCCTGTGGAAAACAGCATCGCTAGTGTTCAAGCTGTCGATCAATATGTGTCTATATTGTAGGATGCCCATGGAAGAATTTTGGTCTTGGCGGTCGAGATTGTACATGCGTACAAACCCACATATTCACGGCAGCACAGAACCTTGTACAGTACCACACAGCCCACGACCGGTTTGTTAGATACACCCAAACTTGTTCCTATGACTAGCAAAGGGTGATGCGGTGAAGTAGCTTGCCAGGCAGTCCAATCCATCCTACAAACTCTGCGCCTCACCCTCTCAGATGACGGCAACTCATCTTGCCTGCCATAGGTCTGGTTCCCCAGCGTCCAAAGCTCAAGCAATCGCCTCAATGCCCCCCTTGGGGAACAAATAGTATGTATATGTATATATGTATATTGTGTTCTTGGATGTTCTTGGTTCATACTGTACATATCTGTCCTGATTGTGTGCAATTCGCATGTGCATAGCGACAATAAATTAGTGTAAATTAGTCAAGTGAGCAGTTTCCCTAAAAATCTAGGAACCAAATGAATAGAAGCGTGAGCTATCCTGCGTCCATACTAATAGCTTAAGTAAGCTACTAGCTACCTAGCTACCTCTAGCTGCTACCTCCCTCTACGGCCTCCCCCTTAAAAGAAATATATATATATATATATATTTAAAAAAAATCAATAGATCCGATTCCTCCGACTTGAGGCCAAGGGGGGGGGGCGAAAGCTAGCGCTCCAGAATGGGAAAGTGGAGGGCAGCGAGGTAGGAAAAAACACGGCGCTCTTTTTGGAGGCAGGGGTGAAGAGTCCTTTATATGTGGCTCTTTGCCCGGATCCTCCTGCGAGAGAAGAGAGAGAAGAGAGACGGAAAGACGAGAGACAGAGAGGAGAGAGAGAGAGAGAGAGGAGAGAGAGATGAGAGAGATGAGAAAGATGAGAAAGAGATGAGAGAGATGAGAGAGATGAGAGAGATGAGAGAGATGAGAGAGAGAGAGAGAGACAGTGAGACAGTGAGACAGTGAGAGTGGAGTGAGAGTGAGCGAGTGCTGCCGCAAGATACGCAACGCTAACCGCATGCCAAAGAGCGACGACAGGACGGAGTCGAACTTGCGAAGAGGGAGGAGGGAGGGAGGGAAGGTGGGAGGAAGACAAGGAGGAGGAGAGGGG